ATTTGAAAGACAGAGTTACAGAGAGAGGTAGAGACAGAGAGAGAGGTCTTCCATCTGCTGGTTCACTCTCCAGATGGCCACAATGGCTGGAGCTGTGCAAATCCGAAGCTAGGAGCCAGGAGATTCTTCTGAGTCTCCCACGTGGGTGCAGGGGCCCAAGGACTTGGGCCATCTTCTACTGCTTTCCCAAGCCATAGCAAAGAGATGGATCGGAAGAGGAGCAACTGGGACTAGAACCGGCACCCATATGGGATGCCGGGGCCTTAACCCACTGCACCACAGCGCTGGCCCTACTCTTAAGTGTACAAATTTTATCATGAGGGTCCTACCACCATAACATCACATAAACCTAATTATTTCCCAGGGATTCCATCATGTTGGAGATTAAGGCTCCTGAATTTTGGAAGGACCCCATTCAGTTCACATCAGCATCTTTACTGAAGACCCTTTATGTTCATCTTTAGGAAATTTGTCTAATAATTTCTTTAGAGTAGGCACTCTACTACCACTTGCCAGAAAATTGTTACAATAAATAGTTGAATCTGCAAAATCTACCATGTAAATGCTCATTTAGGATTGTGAAGTTAGCAACCAGCATGACCATTCACTATGGTTCAGCTGAGTCTATTCTTGTCTGTAACTAAGAATTATTACAGGGGTTGGTGCCATGGCATAGCTGGTAAAGCTGCCACCTGAAGTGCCGGTATCCCATATGGGCGCTGGTTCGAGTCCCCGCTGCTCCACTTCCCAATCAGCTCTCTGTTGTGGCCTGGGAAAGCAGTGAACGATGAGCCAAGTCTGTGGGCCCTTGAACCCACGTGAGAGACCTGGAGGAAGCTCCTGACTCCTGGCTCCGGATTGGCACAGCCTCAGCCATTGTGGCCATCTGGGGTGTGAACTAGTGCCTCTGCCTCTCTGTAATTCTGCCTTTCAAATAAATAAATAAATAAACCTTAAAAAAGAATTATTACATGTGACATGTTGTATGAAAAATAAATGCTTCAAAAATATATTAAATCGGAAACCAGAGTTTCATACTTCAAAATCACTACAAAGAAACATCATCTTAGTAAGTAATGACTACAGTTTAGTATACTATATGGTATATGAATGTGAGACCAAAAAATTAGGTTATAAATAGTGATGATTTTTTATTGTGTTTGACTATAATTAAGAAAAATTATTATTTAATAAATACAGCTGAGAACTTGTCACATACAAAAATAAATATGAAATTGACCCAAATAGGTTCGTATTTTTTAAATCCTGTTTTAAGAAGGGACTACTGTTAAAACATATGAGTAAGCATCCTTTTTACTTACTTGAGAGACACAGAGAGAGAAATAGGAAAGTAAGACAAAGAGAGCTTCCATCCACGAGTTCATCCTCCTATGCCTGCAAGTGCTGGGCCTGGGCCAGGGTCAGGGTCAAAGCCAGGGCCAGGAACTGAGTCCATGTATGCTCTGTGAGTGGCAAGAAACCAATTAATTGACTCATCCCTGCTGCCTTCATGCTCTGCAGGAAGCCTGAGTCAGCAGTCCAAGCAGAAACTGAACTCAGTTACACAGATGTGGGATGTGGTCTTAACTGCTAAGCTAAATGCTTGCCACCAGTCTTTTCAAGTGGAAATTATCAATTCATATTATTAGACATATTTCTTATATTTAATTTACATCCATGATGCTTGAAATATAAACTCTTTTTCTGTTGTCCCCTCAAAATCACAATAAATGTTACAGAAAATATGAAGTATTAGGATGTGGTAGGATCTTTGTAGGTGGTAAATGTTTTGCAATTCAGGCAGAACCCTTTTTACTAATGTATTTAGAATACTTTTTAGGGTTCCTGTGTTCTGGCAAGTTTCACAACAAACTCTTTGCCAGCAAATATGGAGAAATGATAACTAATTACAGTGTCTGAACTTTTTAAACTAAAATATATATACATATTTATTTGAGAGGCAGAGAGGAGAGACAGAGAGAATGAGAGAGAAAGGCAGAGAAAGAGAGAGAACCCATCAGCTGGTTTACTCGCCAACTGCCTGCAATAGCCAGTACTGTGCTAGGTTGAGGTTATGAGCTTGGAAATCAATGCAGGCCTTTTTGCTGGAGTCAGGAATCAAACCCAAGTACCCCAGTGTGGTTTGGAGGCATCTTACCTTTGAGATACTCACCTCTGAGATTTTTCCTTTTAAAATATGGACATTACAAACACCATTGTTTTTAAATCTAAAGAAAATTGCTTTTTTAAGTTTTGTGTCAATCATTACTTTTTTTTTTTTTTTTTTTTGACAGGCAGAGTGGACAGTGAGAGAGAGAGAGACAGAGAGAAAGGTCTTCCTTTTGCCGTTGGTTCACCCTCCAATGGCTGCCGTGGCTGGCGTGCTGCGGCTGGCGCATCGCGCTGATCTGAAGCCAGGAGCCAGGTGGTTCTCCTGATCTCCCATGCGGGTGCAGGGCCCAAGCACTTGGGCCATCCTCCACTGCACTCCTGGACCACAGCAGAGAGCAGGCCTGGAAGAGGGGCAACCGGGACAGAATCCGGTGCCCCAACCGGGACTAGAACCCGGTGTGCCGGCGCTGCTAGGTGGAGGATTAGCCTATTGAGCTGCGGCGCCGGCCTCATTACTTTTAAGAATTGGAAATACCTATGTTTGATAAACCGAGATAATGTCTTAAAAAGAACTGAGTGAAGTCTTCTTTATCACCACAGACTGCCTTTATCACTTCTCTTTTTCTTAACTATTTCCTTCAGATTTGTTCCTTTATAATAGATTACCTTAAACATATTAGAGAGATAAATGTGTTTGGATTACTGCAAGGACTGGATACAGTGCCAATGTCTATATCAATATATTCTGTTCAATTTCATGTAACCCTATTAAAAGCAGATTCTTTTGTTTTCTAAACTTTTTAACTTTATTTTTAAATTTTTATTTATCTACTTTCATTTTATTTGAAAGGCAAAAAGGAAAAGAGGGAAAGAGGGGAGTTGGAGGAAAGGAGGACAGGAGAGACACAGACCAATAGAGAAGAGAAAAAGAGAGAGGAAGAGAGAGAGAGAGAAACTTCCATCTGCTGGTTCACTCTCCAAATGCCCATTAAAGCCAGTGCTGAGCAGGCTGAATCCAGGAGACAGAAACTCAATCTAGGTCTCCCAGGTGGGTGAGAGGGCCCCAAGTACTAGAGCCATCACCTGCTGCCTCTCAGGGTTCACATCAGCAGGACATTAGAATTAGAAGTGGAGTAGAGTGGAATAGAACCTGGGCACTGGGTTATGCAATGTGGGTGTCCTCAGGGAAGAGAGAGACTTGACTACTGTTTTTAAACATTTTGTGTACAGAATGTGCTCTTTTACAGTATTTTTCCTTTTAATTGTGTTTGCAAGGTTAGTATATTTCAAATTTTTTAGTTGTACAGAAAATTCTCAAATATTACGGTATGAGAGTTAAAAGAGATTTTCCTAGAGTTGAGCCTCTGGCCTAGCAGTTAGGATGTCTGCACCCCACATCCAGCGTACCAACATGCAATTCCCGGCTCTGGTTCCTAACTCCTGTTTTCTGCTATCTGCACCCTGGGAGGCAGTGATTATGGCTCAAGTGCTTGGGCTTCTGGCAACACCTAGAGGATCTGAATAAGGTCCGTGGGCTCTCCTTTGCCTTGGCTCTGTCCTGGCTATATGTGTATTTGGAGAGTAAACCAATGAAATGCATAGGAGTATTAGCTTTCTGCCTCTCTGCCTCACAAAAAATAAGTAAATAAATAAAAATTAAAATGTAGAAAAAGCAGGAGCCTCCTTGTTCTCTGTTCTTAATCCCAGCATGCTCTCATGAAAAGGAAATTGTGAGGGCATGACTGAGGAGCTGCTCACCAGGCACACAAGGCCAGAGAACCAGCAGAAGAAGGCACTGATGATGCACAGAAGAGAGCACAACTGAGAGTCACCGAGAAAGAACTAATGGGATCATTTTCTTAATTACATTGCTACAGTGAGAAAAAACTTCTAAAAATTACATTCCTGTAGCAATTAGCAGGGAAAGGTAAGATTTAATCAATCAGTAATCTATTTATTTTTATCCTCCCTGCCCTCCCTTACAGAAAGATTCAAAGAGGGTCCAGCACTGTGGTACACTAGGTTAATCCTCTGTCTGTGGCCCTGGCATCCGATATGGGCGCCAGTTCAAGTCCCGGCTGCTCGACTTCTGATCCAGCTCTCTGCTATGTCCTGGGAAAGCAGTAGAAGATGGCCCAAGCCCCTGGGCCCCTGCATCCATGTGGGAGACGGAGAAGAAGCGCCTGGCTTTGGATTGGCCCATCTCCAGCCATTGCTGCCATTTGGGGAGTGAACCAACAAATGGAAGACCTGTCTCTGTCTCTCCCTCTAACTGTTTGTAATTCTACCTCTCAAATAAATAAATGAAAATCTTGAAAAAAAGACTCAAAGAGCACTATCTACATCAAATGGTTTGATGTTTGTTAGTGATTTGAATAACTATGGCTTCCTGATAGAATGAACCAACCTAGTGTTTGATCACTTTTAGTGGACTTTGGTTGACAAGCTTATTGATGTCAGTAATGTCAGAAATATATTTTTTAAAGATTTATTTTATTTATTTGAAAGAGTTACAGAGAGAGGTAGAGACACAGAGAGAGGTCTTCCATCTACTGCTTCACTCCCCATATGGCCACAACGGCCGGAGCTGAGCTGATCTGAAGTCAGGAGTTAGGAGCTTCCTCCTGGTCTTCCCATGTGGGTGCAGGGGCCCAAGGACTTGAGCCATCTTCTACTGCTATCCCAGCCATAGCAGAGAGCTGGATGGGAAGAGGAGCTGCTGGGACTAGAACCGCTGCCCATATGGGATGCTGGAGCTTCAGGCCAGGGCTTTAACCCGCTGCGTCAAAGCACCAACCCCAGCAATATTTTTGATTAGAGAGTAATTGGAGGTTTTTAGGGATTCATCATTTGAATTTCTTTTAAATTGGAAAGTTCATATTATTTCTTTGTAATTTTTAAAAACATTCCTGTAAACTAGGCCAGACGTGTCTTAAGGAGGAAGGAAAAGGAATTTACCTCTCTTTGACTTCCGTTACTTAAGTGCTGTTTTTGTTTGTTTCCTCAGGGGAAAACACAATACTAAGCAGCAAAAAAAAAAAATGGGAAGAATGCATATTTTTAAGGACAGCCAAAATACAAATGAGAGTCACTGACCTGCAGCATGCCAATACAACTCCACAGGTGATCTCCTAAAATATATCAGAACCAGGTATCTCTGTTTCTGTCAATATGGCGCATTTTCTTTGCTAATATTACTTTAATACCTGCTGATATCTGTATCTTGAAACCAGGATCTCTCTGATAACTAAGGTAGTTTTTTTTTTTAAGAGTGAAGACCAAAGTTTCCCTTTATTCGTCCATATTCCTTGAATTCCTTCCACTAGAAGCAATTATTGCTGAGTTTCTTAGTGGATTTTTTTGGGAAAATTTCTGTTTGCACACATTTCCTTTACCTAAATGGACTAATTAAATATATGTTGCTCAACATCTTGCTTTGTTTTTGTATTTTTATGTATGTAAAGGGAGCAAATTTAACATATTTCATATATACAGTACTAAAAGTATAATGATCCTCTCAACAGTACCCTCCCTCAAGGGGCCTTCAATCTTCGTGAAGAGCTAATCACTCAACAATTACATATTTAAAGCTATTTAAAACAGAACAATCCTTTCAGGGCAAAGTGGTAAATCTCTTTTAGGGTAAATAAGATCTGCTTTCATATCGATAGGATTTAATTTGCTATTAATTTGATGATATAGAGGGAAAAACTGATTTTAATTACACATTTAATGTAATCCAAGTGCTTCTTCATATTTCTCCAAATTAATTTAAGCTCTAAAATAAAATAGTTTGTTGGCAATCTATTTTTCAATTTTGTTTAAGGAATACAACTTCATGCATTTAATATATACAGATTTGGGAACAGGATGATTCTTCCCCCACTGCCTCCCTCCCACCCATACTCCTGTCTTTCTTCCTCTTCCTCTTTCTTTTATCAAAAGCTTTCTATATATCTATTAAAATAATAATACTGCTTTTATTCAATTTGTTAATCTGTTCATATCTATTGATTTGTAAATGTTGAGCCACGCCTGCCTACCAGGGTTGAGTCCTACTTGGTCTCAGCAAATGATCTTTCTAATGTGGCTTTGTATTCAATTTGCTAGTATTTGTTGAGGTTTTATGCATTTATGTTCATCAGGAATATTGGTGTACAGTTCTCTTTCTTTGTTGTATCTTTTTCTGGTTTAGGAATTAGGGTGATGCAGGATTCATAGATGGATTTTGGGAGGATTCCCTCCCTTTCAACTGTTTTGAATAGCTTGACAAGAATTGGAATTACTTCTTTAAATGTCTGGTAGAAGTCAGCAGTGAAGCCATAGGATCCTGGGCTTTTCTTTGTTGGGAAGGTCTCTATTGCTGATTTGGTCTCCATTTTGGTTATTGTCTGTTTAAGTTTTCGATGTCTTTCTTATTTTTTACAGAGATCAATTTTTCAGCTAATTTTTATACTCATAAAATTAACTCTACACTAAGTAGAGTTTACCGATTAATATGAAGAAAAAACAAGCAAAATATTGTTCCTCGACAGTCAAGGTGAGGGCTGTTCAAAATCATCGCATCTCAGGGTGTCAGTTTCATTCCTATAGATTACATTTTAGGGACTCTATTAGTTACCACAGATCAGAGACCATATGGTATTTGCCTTTTTGTGACTGGCTTATTTCACTAAGTACAATGGTTTCCAGTTGCATCCATATTTTTGTAAATGAAAGGATTTCATTTTTTTTTACTGCTGTGTAGTATTCCAATAGTGTATGTATACCATAATTTCTTTATCCAGTCTTCAGTTGATGGACATCTGGGTTGATTCTACATCTTAGCTATTGTAAATTGAGCTGAGATGAACATGCGGTACAGATCACTCTGTCATATTCTGATGTCTTTCCTTTGGATAAATTCCCTGGAGTGGGATGTCTAGGTCATGTATTCAAGTTCCTGATATCTCCATACTATCTTTCACAGCGGCCGTACCAGTTTACCTTCTCACCAACAGTGGATTGAGATACCTGTAATCAGTTAGTACATGGCACTTATATGACAAAAATTTTTATAAATTCTTATTAAGATTTTTGGGACTGGCTTTGTGGTACATTGGGAAAAGCTACTGCCTGCCGTGTTGGCTTCCAATTCATTTAACTGCTAATGGCCTGGGAAAGAGGGGAAGATGGCCCAAGTGTTTGGGTTGTTGCCATCCACATAAGAGACCCAGATGATGCTCCTGGTTCCTGGCTTCAGCCTGGCCTCCTGATGGCTGTTGCAGCCATCTGGAGAGTGAACCAGCAGATGGAATTCTCATTCTCTCTCTGTCTCCATTTCTTTCTGTAACTATTTCAAAATAAAAAATAAATCTTTAAAGAGAAAGATTTTCATTATCTCTAGTTTTAATTTTTATTTAAACAATAAAAATATGTTTATAGCACAATTGCCATTTATACCCAGAACTTATTTTCATTTTACAATATAACTTTATTATTATTATTATTATTTTTGACAGGCAGAGTGGACAGTGAGAGAGAGAGACAGAGAGAAAGGTCCTCCTTTTGCCGTTGGTTCACCCTCCAATGGCCGCCGCGGTTGGCACGCTGCGGCCGGTGCACCGCACTGATCCGATGGCAGGAGCCAGGTACCTATCCTGGTCTCCCATGGGGTGCAGGGCCCAAGCACTTGGGCCATCCTCCACTGCACTCCCTGGCCACAGCAGTATTTGCTCACTGTTGCTTACAGAATCACTCTTCTTTTTGGATTTGTGTCTTCATGAAATATGTCCTTCAGTGTTTCTTTCAAGTGAAGAAGGACATCTTTAAACTTCTATGTTCTCTTAAATGTGGAACTTTTTGAGATATATTTCGTCCACACTTTGAAATTATTACTTCATTTTATTCTGATATTTCTGATACTTCCTAATGCCTGTGATGTCCACTATCAGGCTGATTGTTATCTTTCATATAAATTTTTATTTTTGATTTCAACATTTTCTCTTTGTTCTTGATATTGTGCAATTCCACTACAAAGTGACCAATGAGGTATAATTTGTTTTATTTTGTTCATACGATTTTTCAAAATAAGGATTCATTGTTTTCTTCAGTACAAAAATCTTTCAGCCATCATTTGAAAGATCTCTTTCCTGAAAATTATTATTGGTTACTGTAATTGTAATTAGATATAAGTCAGAGTTTTTTAATTTTTTCCCTCCTGCCTGAGCCGCCTGATAGATCGTATATTCTCAACAAATTTTTCAGTAATGGATTAAAAAAATACTAATCAATAAATATTAAATTTAGCAATTGTAGGGGCCTGAGTTGTGGCATAGTGGGTAAAGCCACCACCTGGGATGCCTTGGTGCCGTTTGAGACCCAGCTGCTCCATTTCCTATCTAGCTCCCTGCTGATGTGCCTGGGTGAGCAGTGGAAGATGGCCCAGTGGTTGGGCCCCTGCACCCATGTGGGAGACCCGGAAGAAATTCCTGGCTCCTGGCTTCCACCTGGGTTAGCCCTCACTGCAGTGGCCATTTGGCAAGTGAACTGGTAGATGGAAGATCTCTATATCTCTCTCTATTTGTCTCTTCCTCTCCCTATGTAACTCTTTCAAACAAACAGAATAAATCTTAAAAAAAAAAACTTAGCAATTATATACCTCAGCATTAATGGATTAGCTTTATTAATCATCAAATAGTTCAAGTACAATGATCCTAGAACCAGGCATAGTGTCAGAAACTTCGGGAGAACATTAAAATCCAGATCTGCAGTCCCAACGTACAATGTCTTATTCAGTAAGTCTGAGGACAGATTTGCAAGTCTGTATTTTCACAACATGTGAAATCACATAGAGTGTGACTTTTATACTAGGAGCCCAAGAAGCACCCATGAGAGAAATGGTGTCTGTGTGTGATCAGATTTAGAAGGGATGGTGATAGACAGATTAACAAAATATTTGACAGTAGGGACTGGCAGGAAAGAAGAGTTTTGGAATGAAGGAGCAAAAAGCTGAATGAACAGGATGAAAATTTGAGAAATGCTGATCTGGGCCTGATCAGGTAGCATATCAAGCTTACATTGTTTTTAAAAATATGTAAATAATGTACTGTTCATGAATTCCATAACAAGCAACATTCTGCAGCACCTAATATTTTGTTCTTCACGTGGGTCTTTGTAATAATTAAAGCTATTTGAAAATAGGCAGAAATGGTTAATATGAAGTCTGTTTTCCCTTGGATTTATTTTTTAAATCTTTGCATGGAATTTGTAGCATGATAGAATGATAATGCAGTATAATTTAGCTTAATATCTATTTTGTGTTAGATGACAGTTTTATTAACCAAAACCAATAATCATCATTATTCAGAGTCATAATGGTCCATTATAAATGGTCTCATTTTCTCTAATTTTAATTTTACCTCTTAGAGTATGTATTTCTAGAATTGTTAAAATGGTTACACTTGATTTCTTAAATAAATATAATTTTAACAATCACTATGGAGACATAAGTCATCTAGTAGTTAAGTCCTACTATTCTATATATTTGATACAAAACTGTTTTAGTCTCTTGGTTTCTTTTAATTAAAGTTTCAGACAAGCAAATTTCAGGAAATTAAATTACCATCATTTATGTATTGGAGCCTAAAAACTGTAATGAATAGAGATTTCTTTCTGAGATGACACCTTTCTGACTACTGTGTTTCCTAGGGTAAGGATTAGCAGTCAAATTAGACAAAAGAATGACTTGTCCCCAGCAGCCCCCAGAATAGCTGGATTTATAATTCTCTCTTTAAAAATATCAAGATATTTAGCACAGCAATTAAGGCACCATTTGGGAAACCTGCATCCCATATATGAGCGCTTGGGTTTGAGTCCTGGTTCTGCTTCCAAGTTCAGCTTCCTGCTGATGTGTACCTTGGAAGATAGCAGAAAATGGCTCAAGTAGTTGGATCCCTGCCACTACCTAGGAAAAGTGGAATGAGTTCCTAGCTCCTGGCTTCCAACTGACCCACATCTATCTGTTGTGGGAATTTGGGGAATAAGCCAGCAAATCTGTATCTGAATCTCTATCATCTCTAATATCATTACCTATGTTTGTCTCTCTCTCTCTCTGCCTCTCAAAATGAATAAATCAACACTACCCACAAAATAAGATGATTTTATATTTCCCAGACATTTTATCTTAAAGTGAATAAATGAAGTCAACACACTCAAATGGTGTTCTCTCTCAACAATGGCAATGAGAGATGGAAGTTTAGATAAAGGAAGGAATAAAGCTATGTGGTTCACATATACTTCAGGGCAGAGAGTGCCTTAGAAGTCCCTCAATTTTAAGATTTTCTTGCGGGGCCGGTGCCACGGCTCAATAGGCTAATCCTCCACCTAGCAGCGCTGGCACACCGGGTTCTAGTCCTGGTCGGGGCGCCGGATTCTTTCCCGGTTGCCCCTCTTCCAGGCCTGCTCTCTGCTGTGGCCAGGGAGTGCAGTGGAGGATGGCCCAAGTGCTTGGGCCCTGCACCCCATGGGAGACCAGGAGAAGCACCTGGCTCCTGCCTTCAGATCAGTGCGGTGCGCCGGCCGCAGCACACCAGCCGTGGCGGCCATTGGAGGGTGAACCAATGGCAAAAAGGAAGACCTTTCTCTCTGTCTCTCTCTCTCTCTCTCACTATCCACTCTTCCTGTCAAAAAAAAAATTTTTTTTTCTTGGGTGCTGGCACTGTATTGTAGTAAGCTACACCAGCGCTCATCCCTATAGGCACCAATTTAGGTCCTGGCTGCTCCACTTCCAGTCCAGCTCCCTGCTAATGTGCCTAAGAAAATAAGTGGAAGATGATCCAGGCAGTTGGGCCAGTGCACCCACATGCAAGACCTGGATGAAGCTCCTGGCTCCTGGCCTCAGCCTGGCCCAGCCATGGCTGTTGCAGCCATTTGGAGAGTAACCAGTGGAAGACTTCTCTGCCTCTGCCTCTACCATTCTGTAACTCTGCTGTTCAAATCACATAAATATTTTGCTTTTGAAAAAAGACTTTCTTGAGTGACATCAATTATCTTTTTAAGTTTGTACAGTTTATCAGGCATTCACACTTGCATCCTTTCACACAGCAGGCCTACACCATTCTCTCAGAGGAATATCACTTTTATTCTAAATTTACATTGAGTAGACCAAGGGTACAGAAATTACCTAGTTAGAGTGGAAGTTATGCTTAAACTTTTTCTACAACATTAGCGTTTTTACAGTCAGAACACATCCCAAGGACCGTGGATGTCAGGGAACAGAGGCAAGAGGCCATAAAGTTCAAAGAATGGAGGTTGAAGGTCATCTCAAATACAAACTTTACCAGCTTTATATTATTGTCTAGGGACCAGCATGCAACAATTGCTTAGAATTCAAGAAAGGTAAACTCCTTTCAGCTTCTGTCATGGGCACTACAGGTGGTCTTGTTACTTTTGAGTAATAATTCTATTTCATCTAAACATGATTAAATGGAAATCTCTTCTAAAATATTTGTACCTAGAAGGACTAAAGATGTATTTTCAAACCTTTAAGCTTTGTAACATGCAATCAAATCTATTCATGGATACAAACATGGATCACAACCTATGATGACATTGTGTAATTTTATATTTTAGTTTTTAATATTCTTTTACTTATTCAATAAGTAGTCATTGTATGTCAGAACTGTGTTACACACTGATGTCATAGAGGAAAACACAGTTTTACCCTTGAAGGCTCACACTCTGGTTGGAAGGAAAGATATTCACAATAATACAACATGATAAATAATATAACAGAATTCCTAAGAGTAGAGAGGCAAAGCATTTAGGGCAAACTTCCACTCATTTATTAAAATGATTGCTTCACCATGATTTTCTTATACACATGACCTCAGTGGTTGAATGTATGTATATATGAACTTTTGTTATTTGGTTATGACTTAATTCATAAATAAAATATTGTTTTCAGATTTATTCAAGCAGAGATACTGCACACAAGATTATAAATTAGGTTACAATTTGGTTGGTCTTTGAACATGCAGTTTAACTCAATAGATATTGCATTATTTATAGTTATCTTGTTAAGCCATTCTGAGAAGGATGTTTTTAAATGTCTTGGGAGAAGAGGGGGTTGGGGAAAGATTGATTAATAGGTACTAGTTACAGTTCAGTAAGAAGTTCTTGTATTCTATTGCACAGTAGGGTTACTATAGATTGCAATAATGTACTGTATTTTTTTGACAAAATGAAAAACTAGAAGAAAGAATTTTTAGTGTTTTCACCATTTTCACCATAAGAAATGATAAATGTTTGCGGTATCAGATATGTTTATCCTGATTTGGACATTATATAATGTATACATGTGTCAAAACATCACATGCAACCCCATAAATATGCTTAATTTTTATGTGTCATTTAAAAAAGCTTTTGGTAAAAATGTGAAATAAATGATTTTTAGAGCCTAATAGATATTCACTTTCTGAATTATAAAAATCTCTTAAAATGTTAGAATCTCCAGAAAGCTGGAACCATCTATGAATTTATAGATTCTAGCAAATTCTTTTTTATTTCTTTATTTTTTGTATTTTTGATATTAAGAGGCAGAGACAGCCAGAGAAAAAAGACAGAAGGAGAGAGCTTTTACCTGCTAGTACACTCCCCAAATGCCTTCAAAGTTCAAGGCTGGGCCAGAGTCCCATTACTTGAACCATATTCACTGCATCCTAGGGTGTGCATTACAAGAAACTGGAGTCAAGAGTTGGGGGTAGAAATTGAAGTCAGGCACTCCAATGTGAGATGCAGGTGTCTTAAGTGCTATGCAATATCTGCTCTATGGTTTTTATTATATTTGTTAGCCTCTAAGCTAAATGTCCACTCCCTTAGCAAAATCTTTAAGATAAAGTTTAAGTAGCTGAGAATACATAGTATTTCTGTTAATATGACCTGTGTATATAAAACTTTTGGTTACAAATTATAGTCATATGAAAATCCATGTTGTTCTGCCTGAGTTTTTAGGTCAAGTAGTTATATTCATTGATTATAAATAAGGTGAATTATATGGATTTTAGTTAAGTTTTTTATTATTCTTTTTTCCTTTATTTTAAACAAAAAATCATGGGCATCAGAGTAAGTCTTGTAGCCAAATTCTAAAGCTTTTGCTGTCTTTGAGCCTGGTCATTTTTTTAAATCCCAAGACTTAGAAAATTATCTAGAAAATGAAAGCAATAACTACCATATAGTTCTTTTGTTAGAATCAAGTTCAGTGTATTCTTTGAGGAACTCATATAGAACCTGGAAGAGGGTAGTTTCTATGTCTATGGTGCTTGGCTTCTTCATGCTTGGCTATGAACTACTTGCTGGATCATGAGTTAATCATTTACTTATTTATTTTCATTTTTGGAAGCAGAGAGAGAGAGAGAGAGAGAGAGAGAGGGAGGAAGGGAGAGAGAAAGAGGGAGAGAGAGAGAGCTATCATATGCTGGTTCACTCTCCAAATGTCTGCAATGGCCAGGGCTGGGCCAAAACTGGAAACCAGGAACTCAGTTCAGATTTCCCACATAGGTAGCAGAAATCAACTATTTGAACCACCACTTCCATCCTAAGGAATGCATTATCAGGACGTTGGAATCGCAGGGAGATCTGGGATTCAAATCCAAGTATTTCAGTTGGGTATCTTAACTGAAGTCTCAAACACTAGGCTACATGCCTGTCTCGATGTTTTTAACATTTAAACACACTTCACAACACTGCAGCAGACATTCAGTCAAAAAATTTAATGATTCGTGTTCCGTCCATTTATTTTGTGAGCACATCAAACTAACCTGCCAGCTAGTGGACTGGCCTATGTGAACCATTCACTCAAAATATTATGCAGATTGTGTTTTTCCATCAATAAAGATTGAGACTTACTAAGCATTTCCTTATTTTCTTGTGGTTACAGTACCAAGTGATGTCTCACATTGTATTTATAATACACATGTCGAAGCAGTACATTTAAGAAGAAATCTGGGACAGTTTTTGTAATCAAGGTAAACCATCTTTTTTTAATAACTGAATTGAATAAAAATGGATTATTTGACATCACGTGGATAGCTTACTCAGTTGGCCACAGCTTGGTGCTAATATGTCAGGTTTGAGGATTCTGTTTCCCTCATACACTAATTACAACATGATTGATTTTTCACTTGATGGATTTTTGTTTTATTTTATTTTAGGCTCACCGACTGACTGCAGCTGTAACTTCAACTTGCCAATGTACACCATTGCTCACAAGAGGGCCAGTTGAGAGAGTCTGAATGAATTTATTGCCAGCTCTTTCCCATTTCTAAAACAAAGCAATTTTGTGGACTTGTTACTGATCAATCAGAGAACCATCTTAATAAACACATGACAACATTTCATATGGCACCATTTTCATTGTAAATAACAGAGATTGTAGGAGACAGTACAAATTATCTTGGGCCATTGTCTTATTTATAAATTAGAGTTCAATTATGTTTTTCACTGATTTACATTCTGACTTGTTAGTTAATTATGTTATTTGCTTCTTTTATGCTCACTCTCCTCTCCCCTTAGATCTGGCGTGACTATTCTTTTCTTCAGTATTCTTTCCCTTGTTACACTGTTTATGTTCTCTGAGGGGCAGAATACCTTTATTATTATTATTATTTTGAGAATGCTAAGTATTTACCTAATTATCCTTTAGAGAACATTGGAAGACAGTACATTTGAGCAAATGGATGAGCAGTGGAGAAGGATAGCTATATAATTACATTATTTCTAGAAGCCACAGTGACAGAATTGTTTTCTTCTTGCCTTCACATATTTTTCCTCTAGGTTACTATTTTTTTTCATGACAGATTTTCAAGCTTATAATTGGTAACCTTTTTCTTCCAGTTTGAAAAAAAAACTTTTTATGGGACATGCATATGCTCAAATAAATATTATCTATTAAAAAGTCATTGATTTAAGAACTCTAATGTATTTGTTCACTGATTTGAAAAAATATGTATCTAATACAGTGCTTATTTTCCATGTTTGCCTTTTAGTTAATATGTAAAGTTAAAGAAGATTATCAAATAAAATATTAGGCCATTCCAACAATTGAATAAATAACAAATGAGAACAGACCTGATACAGAAGAATTAATTAATTAATTTAGGCTGTCAATCATTCGCCGATCATGCAATTATTAAAAGCATACACTGTGCCTGGAATTTCTCTAGATACAAAGGTAAAGGTAAACATAGTATATCCTCTACAAAAACAAATATGCTAGGAGAAAAGGTGATGATGTGGATGTGGAATCAAATAACATCAGTACAATGTGATCAGATCTTTTAAAGACATATGTAGACTCACTGAGAAACTATCCAGCCCTATGGATCACCCAATCTGGCAGACAAGATATGTTATTTCTATTTCAATTTGGAATTTATTCTGATCCTTGCCAGGCAAATTTATAACTTTTGTATTAGGTTAGCTAATCTTTAAATTGGTTTAATTCGCTCTGTACATATTGTCTGCATAGCATGAATGATAAGATATGGTACGTGAGAGAAGAAAGCATAATATAGGATTAACATTTGTGAAACATCAATTTGAAATGTAGAATTCAATCCTAAAATGGAAAAACAACTGCAAAGTTAGGAACATGTTCATGGAAACTCAGTAGCGCAAGCCTGGCATTGACAGTCTGGTTCATGAATTTCTTACTGTTTATTCACATTGTTCCTGTAGGGGAAATGTGACAATGATGTCTAACAAATTTGTTGCCACAGTCAAAGATTCCTGCCAGTGTTTTAGCAAAGTGGAAAACAGTTCTTTCATTTTGGATAACTGTTTTCCAAATCTTCTCTACCAGACATCTCATTACGTAGGAAGCCTCAATTGAGTAATATGGAAAAGCAGTGTAAGTATAAGTTTGATTCACAGCATGATGATTTTTCTAAGTAATATTCTGGGAAGTCTTGAATCCTTTTTGTGTATTTAACTTTTACTGTGAGAGTTCTATGCCTCTGCTTGTCTACTGAGACCAGTAATATTTTTCTGCTTCTCATTAGTCCATTTCAAAGAAAATGAACCATAAATAGATGAAAATTTCCATAATTTATAGAAGTCCACATAAGAAATGAATTCCAATTCTGAAAGATTATGTATTCATTGTTTGCTCATAAATATTCTCCAAAACATCAAGTGTACTTGTCTCTCTAATGTGATGGTACTTTTTAAAAGTGACATAGCCTTTCTTTAAAATGATTTTGCTATAATGATGTCAGCAAATTTTTAAATCTCTTGCTTAACATGGACCCCTGAGAGCAAGGTTTCTATCTCACTCACTGTGTATGTCTTTGTATCTCCAGCCTACCATCACCCACATATTTGTACTTCATTAACATTTTTGAAGGAGTGAATAGCATGACTTAGCAGTGCTAATGTCTTTCATTCTAATTGGCTTAGTCTAATATGCTCATTTGTTGAAAGTGATGGAAACCGATTGTGCTATCTTCCTCTCCATCTCCATTTTCTTTGTCCTAGTGCATCTGCCCACTTTCAGTTGGCCTGACCACAGAAAGAACCCTCTTACTAGTCACTGGACAGCAGTCAAATTCATCCATTCACTATGCCTGATATCATTCCCAGAAGACTCTATTTCAACACTCAAATCTGATTATGTCAACTCATGGGCAGAATTCTTTAGTGCCTGCCCTTCATTCCTCCATGAACCAACAGTCCAAAATTATTTTACCTTGATAAAGTTCCAGAAGTATATGACAAGTTTCACATTTTCATTTCTGTTCCTCCATGTGCCTTATATATAGTGCTAATTAATATTACTGAATAAATGTTTGAATAAGTGAACACATGATTGATTAAGTGAAGATAGCTATTATGGTCTGTTTGTACTAAAGATTAGGCAGGAGTGTTCAGAGTTTCTAATGGAGATGTCTAGAAATAGAGATGGATGTTATAGAAAAGTATTTATCACACTGCCTACTCATAAAAATTATCTGAGGTGTATTTTAATAAATTTTTTAAAAAAATGTATTTATTTGAGAGGCAGAGAGAGAGAGAGAGAGAGAGAGAAACCCATTCACTGGTTCACTCCCCCTAATGCTTACAATAGCCAGGACACCAAAGCTGTGATCTAGGATCTCAATCTAGATCTCCCATATGATTGGCAGGGACCCAAGTACTTGGAGCCATCCCCTCCTGCCTCCCAGGGTCTGCATTATCAGGAAGCTGGAATCAAAAGCAAAACAGAGACTCAAATTCAGGCAAGGGACCTAGATGTGGGCATTCCACTCAACTTCTTTATCTCTGTGCCAAAAGCCATGTCCACTCCAGAGGCATGTTTTTATAATGAAGACTTCTAGATTCATGACTTGCAAAAGAAGACTTGAGATTCTTTATTTTCTAAAATAATTTCTCTAGTTGATTCTTATATTCAGGTATATTTAAGGAAGGTGTCTGACCGTAGCAATTAATATCTGAAGACTGGATGTTAACTCATGGTGTGAGGTCAAATTATGTGATCCTAAATCTCTGTCGAAGAAGTTATGGGTACTATTATTCCAATGAAGATCAAAGTTTATGGAAGGGTAGAATCAGGTGAATGACTTGAGAATTTCCCAAGAACAAGGGTTTGGGAAAAATGACTGGGTTCATGGGTCATCACATCTAGAGTTATAATCAATTTTCAAGGAATTCTACTCTATTTCCCAAGTTCATGTCTGCATCTAACTATTTACTTAACATTTGTTATGTCCCAAATTATAGCTTAAATCTTGTGTAATACATGTAATGTCGTTGTCCAACTGATTTGTTACAACTCACCATGCTTGTCTCTGGTATTCTAAGTGCTTAAAGTTATTTTCTCATCAATGTGGTTGTTACGCAAACTGAAAATTACCTTCTTCAAAGAGCTAGCATTCACCTTACGAAATATAAGTATCTAGGTTTTTTAGTACAATGAAAACTCCAATAGAGCTCCCATGTCCTCTGAAGGTATAACAAGTTGGTTTTGATTAATAGGCACTACCTGTCACTTCAGGGGACTCATTCATTTCCTTGACCGGAAAGTTCACTCCTGACCTAACCTGAGTCTTTGGCCACTAAATGCTGTATCACTCGGGTAGGCATTCTGGTGCAGCAGGTAAAGGTGCTTCTTAGAATGCCCACAACCCATACCAGAGTGCCCAGGATCAATCCCACCTCTGCCCGTGCTTTCCTTCATCCAAATGCACATCCTAAGAAGCAGAAAGTGAAAGCTCAAGTATTTGAGATCCTGCCACCCGTGTGGAAGACCCAGGTGGAATTCTGAGCACTTGACTTCAGCCTGACCTAGTCCTGGCTTTTTGGGGGCATTTGGGGTGTGAATCAGCAGATGAAATATCTCTATTTGACTCTCTGTCTTTCAAATAAATAAATCCTTATAAATGAATGAATATTCCATTATTTTAATTGTAAATATATCGTATTACTTATTTTTATCTTTTGAATTGGGCATTTTTCTGTTCATTTGCATAATTTTATACATATTTCAAATTGTGGAGGTAGGATGGCCAAATGAAAAAAAGTAAGGGCACTGGAAATTAGATGATTTGAATTTGAAATCCACTGTTAGTGGTTAATCAATAGACAAATGATCTAACCAAGTTTTTAGTGGTTAAACTATAGTTTTATTTTAGATGTAAAATGGTGATAAAAGTTCCTTTCTCAAACTTTGTGTTATTAAATAATATATAAAGTAGAGTTACAATGCTGGACCTTTAATATTTATATATTTAAATTACTGTATAATTTATCTGCATTTTATAGAACTCTATCAAATAAAATTTAGGGGTGGGCACTGTGATGTAGTGGACTAAGCCTCCAGCTGTGGCGCTGACATCCCATATGGGCACAGATTTGTATCTCAGCTGCTCCTGTGCCGATCCAGCTCTCTGCTATAGCCTGGGAAAGCAGTGGAAGATGGCCCAAGTGCTTGGGACTCTATGTGGGCAACCTGGAAGATGCTCCTGGCTCCAGGCTTCAGATCAGCCCAGCTCAGGCCATCGTGGTCATTTGGTGAATGAACCAGTGGATGGAAACTCCTCCTCTCTTTGTCTCCCTCTCTCTGTCTGTAACTCTGCCTCTCAAGTAAATAAATCTATTTAAAAAACAAACAAACAAACAAACAAAACAAAAACATAAAATGTAAAGGTACCTAACGTGATTTGTGAAATGGAAACAAGGAAATGTTTCTAAACATAGTCAACTTTTTAGAAAGCCTAATTTTTTAAAATATTAACTTATTTGAAAGAGTTACAGAGAGAGAGGGAGAGACAGAGAGAATGAGAGATTGTCCATCTGCTGGTTCATTCTGCAGACGGCTGCAACGGCCAGGCCTGGGTCAGGTTGAAGCTGGGAGCTTGGAGCTTCATATTTGTGTTCCACATTGGGTGGCAGGGACCCAAACACTTGGGCCATCTTTTGCTGCTTTTCTTAGGCTGATAGCAGGTACCTGAATTGGAAGTGGAGCAGCCAGGACTGGAACCAGCACCAAATGAGATGCAGAGGCTTTATCTGCTATGCCACAATGCTGGTCTCTAGAATATGTAATATTTCTATTAACTATGGTGAATAAAAATAATGACCCATGCTTGGATGTTGGACCTAGAGGTGAAGATTCCTGGCTCCAGGTTTTGGCTGAAAGTTTTTGACATTGCTCGCATCTGGAGAAAGAACAGGAGCCTGCCTCCATGTCTGTCTCTCTGTTAATTTTTTTTAAGTGATGACCCTGAGATAAGCATTATTTTCTACTACTTTTTTCCCCTTAAATCTTGTATGGTGCTCAAGGCTTAGAATTTCTTTATATTTCATTTCTATATAATACTATTCCCACTTTAAAGAACAGATTATGATGCCTACATATAATCAAATTGGTGCACTTTCACAAGTAAATCCTTTTCTAATTTTTAAAAATTATTTATTTGAAAGAGAAACAAGCAGACACACACATGCACATGGGGGGAGAGAGAGAGAGAGGTGGAGAGGGAGAGATCCCTTCCACTGGTTCACTCCTCAAATGCCTACAATGTGCCTAAAATGGTCTGGAATGGGACAAGCTGAAACCAAGAACCAGGACTCAATATAGTGTCCAATGTGGGTAGCAGAAGCCCAATTACTTGAGTCATCACTACTGCCACCCAGGGTCTCTTCATTGTCAGAAAGGCATTGTTAAGAACCAGGTTGAGAGTCA